CCCCAAAACCCCAAAACCCCAAAACCCCATTTAGCCCTGAGTGTGTTGAAACATAACATTTACTTTTTAGTAGAAATCTTGCTGACAGGTTAGACTTCGTCAGTTGCACTTTTCACTAGACTTATTCTTTATAATGGTTGACCATTTGTCTTGACGAGGTTCTAATACTCTTCTCTTTGAAAGCATCTTGCCTACTAATATAGTCAGAATGAGGCAGTCCCTGTAAATCTGGCTCACATGAGGAATGATTCTTCTTTGTAAAACTCAGCTCAGTCATCATATTATTTTCTAACAAATACCTTCCTATCTTCTGAGAACAATCTTGTGTAATGTCCTTGTGTCAGGCATGCTTTCTTATACTCTAGCTCTATAAATCTGAATTAATAAAACTTCCATGTACATACCCAAAAATCTCGACGATAACCACACTAAAATCAGCTCCATCAGACCCACCAATAAGTAGCTCTATGGCTACCGTGCATCCTTACCTTCTTTATTCCTTGAGATCTGGACCAAATTCTGGACTAGACTTTTGACCTGACTCATCTCACTTGATAGGTGCTCTATTGCTTGCCTCTTTGATTGAATATCTAACATCCTAAGTTCACCTTCTTCAGCTGCAGAGAACCTACGCTCAGCAGGGAAGTTTTGAACTTTTTGAGATTTTTCACGACTAAAGTTGAGAGTGAGAGAAATTTTGAGGATTTTGGGGTTACTTTTGAGTGGAAGAAAGGCTTACTTTGGAGGGCTGGAGGGGGGTTTGGAGGGGTGGTTTGGGAAGGAGGTGGGACCTGGAGGTGGAGTTAGGGGGTGAGGGGTGATGGGGTTTTGGGGAGGTTTAGGGGGAGGAATAGGGGTTGTGAGGGAGGATATTGGAAAAGGATTACTCCTACCTGTACTTTTTGTGATTTTTAGTACTATCTCAGAACAAGAGTTATTGGAGTCTTCAGAAGCTTTCTTCTCTTCTTTTGATTCTAATAATTTTCTGTCAGGAGAGTATTCTTTTTGAAGTATATGAGGCATACTTGGGGAGCTAAGATGAGGATGATGTTTGCCCTTTTTAGTAAGCATATGATCATCCCGATCAGTCGAAATTCTTGACCTCTTTGGGTGAAAAGTGCACTCCGACTCTTTCTCTGATTCCTTAAAAACCTTTCCAATATCCAGATTATCATTCTTCTTCTGATCTTTCTGCTTTCCTTCATTCACCTCGTTCATACCTCCTTTCTCCTTCTTGCTCTCTTCCTTCAATATACCCATCATTCTCTCTTCTCCATGTATTATCTTCTGTCTCTAAAATTACCTTAAATTTCATAAACTTACCTTAATCCCAATTGTATCCTTCTTATGGAACTTTTCCATGAAGCCTTCCTTAAGTGTCTTAGATGCAGCCTGAAGCTCCTCATTAGGTGGTTCTTGACTGAAATCTTGGTCCTTCTTTTGGGCTTTAGAGGCTCTTTTTCTTGGAGGATCTCTGATGGATTTTTTAGGGTTCTTTGCAGGCTTTTTGGGAGCTTTTCTTGTTCGTGTAGGGTTTGAGGCTCTTCTGGGTTTTTTGGCTTTTTTGGCTTTTTGGGTTTTCTAGAGGGGTTAGGAGAAGAAGTGGGAGATTTGAAGAATGGATGCGAGAGTGGATAGAGGAAAGATAGAAAGTGGGATTGGAGGGTGAAATGGGATAGATGGATTTTAGGAGAATGGTGTTAAAAAGTTGTAATTTTGAATATTTTAGTAAGCTAGGGGTTATATGACTTTAGAAATGGATATAATGAAAATTTATTGCTTAGCTTTTTCTTCTAGTAACTATCTCTTGACCAAAGTTCAAAGCAATGAAAGACTTTACCTGTTTCTTCATTTTTACTTCTTTTTGTATAGGCAATTAAGTTTAAATTATGTATTTAGAATTGGGGTTTTGGGGTTTTGGGGTTTTGGGGTTTTGGGG